TTGCAAAGGACACTAATTTCACAATCAAAGCCTTTTTTAGCTTTTTTTCTGTCAGATAGTAAACAATGAAAACATAACACTAAAATGATTAAATTTTGGTAACACACTTGAACATTGAAGTGATTCATATGATCATTCTGTGGCTGTGTACAAAAGTGTTTACAGAAAAATGTTTCATAGAAGAAGTAGAACATGATATATATCAATTGTAAAAATGTTCTGTTTACATGTTAATGAAAATTTTAAGTCACTTAAAGCTGGTGAAAATAATTTTTTAGGGTAATATAATTATAGTGAAATTTAAACATTTAAATTTTATGATAAAAAATGGTAGTTAATCAGAAGTGTCTTGGGAGTTTATTTCATTACAACCTTAATAATAAGCAACTATCTTTTCCCATAGAAAGGAGGAAACATGGATATGATGTTCATTTACACTGTTGGATGAGTGGTATTCAGACCATATAGCTCCAGGCAGGTCAGGTTACATTTAGAACATAGTTTTCAGTTCTAGTTTTTGTATTTAAGAACTGAATTGGCAAATGAATTATAGAGGAAAACTTGGAATTCATATGAGGATGGTTTAGAGACCTAGGAATTTTATGCTAGTAAAGACATTAGCAAGAAAAGGAACAGAAAGAAGGAAAAGCAGAAATGATAATAAAATAGTGGCCTTCCCATATTCCATTGTCGGCTGGGAAATGGGAATACATTGGTTTTCCATAGCTGCTGAGGGCAGTATTGAGTATCTTCACTGGATGAACATAGAGATGTAAATTTTACCTTTTTCTAAAGAAGAGCAATTTAACAAGTAGAATCACTCCACAGTTAAATGGGCTACCTTCATTAGTTACCAAGTATGTTTATTAAAAATGGTACCCCATCCTAACCAAGGCATAGACAGTACCAAATAGGCTATCATGGAAGAGTGAAATGCCATAGGTGATTTGGAGAGGGACCAGGACAGTTTGGACACTAAAATGGGGTGGGGGTGGGGTAGAGAGAGTAATCAAGTGGTGTTATCAATGGGCCATAGAGTTGTGAGTGTGGGTGTGATGGTAATTGACATCAGGGAGGTCAAACAGCAGGAAACTGACCCATTGAGTGGCCAGAGGAGGAAGATGCATGTGAGTCACCATGACAGATCCAGGTTCTAGATCTTTACTGAAGATAACAGTATGAAATTATTTGAAGGATAGAGAGACTAGACAGGATCATGAAAAATACTGACTTAATGTACAGTCAATTAGTAACGAACAGACATACTTCTTTTTCTTTCTTTCTTCTTTTGTTTTGGTTTTTTGAGACCAGGCCTTGCTGTGTAGCCCAGGCTGGCCTCAAACTCATGAGGATCCTCCTGCCTCAGCCTCCTAAGTACTGGAATTATGGGTGTGTGCCATCATGCTTGGACAGCTGGGCTTCTTTCCTTCTTTCTTTCCTTTTTTTTTTTTTTTTTTGAGATGGGGTTCTCATTGAGTTGCCCACACTGACCTTGAACTTGTGATGTTCCTGCCTCAGCCTCTCAGATAACCAGGATTACAGATGTAGTCACTACACCCAGCAACCCAACAATTATTATTTTTTTTTATACCAGGGATCAAACTCGGGACCTTGCGCTTGCAAGGCGGGTGCTGGAACCACTGAGCTAAATCCCTGGCCCCCCCCAATTATTCTTTTAATATCATCATATGTTGGGAGCAATGCTACATAATTCTAGGGAAAAATCATTTGAGTAGGCCTAGTTCTCCTGCCTACAGGCCAGC